ATCATCAACATCATCAACATTATTGCTATTGTTATTATTTCATTATTTATCATTAGTAGTAGTAGTAGTAGTACTAGTAATAGTATCATTATTATTATTATCATCCTTATTATTATCATTATTATTTTTTTTATTATCATTATATTATTATCATTATAATTTTCCTCATCATTATTATTATTATTATCATTATCATTCTTACCACCATCAAAAACATTTATATTTTTACTATTATGTTTAATTCACGTAAAAAATGTCTATTCAGCAGAAAATAACGTTCTTAATACCTATATCCATTGTTAACGAACTTCATACTGCATAAAATTGCTACATGCATTATTGCCGAGCGTGTATGTTCTTACCTAGTTGTTTCAATACGGGAGAAGAGGTAAGCTCAGATTATCCCACCTGCTATATTTACAAAATCATATAACTTTTTAAATTGATGCACATGTTTGGCACACGCAACGTTATTTGGAAGATTGTTCCATGTTTTAATAGTTCTGTTTGGAAAAGGTATTTCTTGACATCTTTCTCGCCTTATTTTTACTTTCAACATTTGACTGTGTCTTCGTGTTCTTCTTGTGTACAAAATTATATAGTCATCTTTGTCTAACTTCACCCTTCTTGTAATACAGTTGAACAGCATGATCATGTTACATCTTTTTCTTCTTTCGTTCAAAGTAGTAAGACCTATTTTCTGTAGTTTTTATTCGTTGCTCATATCTTTTAGAGTAGGTGCCCATTTCGTGGCTGCTCTGTGATCTCTTTCTAGTTTATTTATATATATTTTTTAAGTGTGGACTCCATACCACTGCACCGTACTCAAGACTAGATGTTATGATGGCTGAGATGAGCTTCTTTTATCTTCGTCCACATACACAAATGCCCTCTTTATGTTGGCAATCAGCCTTAGCATTTTATGGACCTTGTCATTTATTTGATCATATATATCATGCACACACACACACACACACACACACACACAAGCACACACACACACACACACAGATATATATTTTATCTTTTATTTATTTATTTTTTTTAACAGCCATTCATTCCACTGCAGGACATAGGCCTCTCTCAATTCAGTATTGAGAGGTTATATGGCAGTGTCACCTTTGCCTGATTGAATGCCCTTCCTAATCAACCGCGGTTCGGCGCGTTAACGCTTGTGCCACGGCGGTGACTTCCCCTACGACACCTGCGTTTGACTTCTCAAGCCGATATGTCGTTTTCTCGGGCTCGAGGTAGCAGTCAGAGCGCAGGCAGAGAGAGAGAGAGAGAGAGAGAGAGAGAGAGAGAGAGAGAGAGAGAGAGAGAGAGAGAGAGAGAGAGAGAGAGAGAGAAAGAGAGAGATAGTCACTCGTCGTTGCTGTAGGATCGTCATTGATATCCTAATCATCCTTATCATCCATCGTTAGTCGCTTCTTTTCGTATATTTTGTCATTTCATGTCATCACAAATTTTGTTGTTATCATTACAGATAGTTTAAGTAGACAAATTTTAACAGAAATGTCTCTGTTCTAAGGACCCCCGCACTAAGGTTTATAACATAATATAAAGATAAAGGCACCTAAACTGATAAAGTTTCCTGATGCTGTGTCAGAAAATTCATTAATTTGATGGTGTTTACGCAGCTCAGCGGTAGAGTCGCCCCTGCCGCGTCCCTGTCATTACCTTAGTGAAGACGCCCCTGCGGATAAGCCACGCTGAAGGGACAAGGAAGATGTGTTCCGCGAGGCCGTCCAGCACATCGAGGAGGAACTCTGGCACCCCGACCACCGTCAGCACGACCATGGCTATCATAAAGGCAACCATGTACACAACCTTCACGCAGGATTTGACGTAGAGGCCCTTGGTGGGGTCGATGAAGGTGGCGACGTGGAATTTGTTCCATCGGTTGAGCAGGCGGCACAACCTGCGCCCCGCCGAGATGGTGTTCAGGAGCTGCACCCACGCGTTGATGAGGTAGCCCACCACCATAACGACGCCGATGATCTTGATGGTCTGCTTCTTCGTGTCCGCAGGCGGCTCCGCGGCGTCCGTCTGCTGCAGGAGGCCTATGCGGACCACCCCGAAGGCTGTCGTCACCAGCAGGACCGAGATGTAGCCGAAGGTGAGCATCGTGTGCGCCCCTTGAGCACTGCGCCACGAGAGCTTGTATTCCGAGGCCGCTTTGTCGTACCAGTAAGGCCATAAGCCAGCGAGGCCGAGGACGAAGTGCAGCGGCCGCAGGGGACGATGCAGCACATTGGCACGCTTCTCTGCTGAAATGTCACTCAGCAGGTCTTCGCTCGCGTCACTCTGGCGTGCCATTGAGCTCATCTGCACACTGACTTGAGACATGTTTTTCGTGTTCATGGAAACTCATCTAAAGCTTAAAAGCGAACAATAACGACAACTGTAATAAAACCTCTAATTCCTTTCACTGTTACTTTCCCAATTTAAATCTATGTGCATGCATATATATATATATATATATATATATATATATATA